GAAAAGAAAAGAAGAGAAGAGAAGAGAAGAGAAGAGAAGAGAAGAGAAGAGAAGAGAAGAGAAGAGAAGAGAAGAGAAGAGAAGAGAAGAGAAGAGAAGAGAAGAGAAGAGAAGAGAAGAGAAGAGAAAAGAAAAGAAAAGAAAAGAAAAGAAAAGAAAAGAAAAGAAAAGAAAAGAAAAGAAAGGAAAAGAAGAGAAGAGAAGAGAAGAGAAGAGAAAAGAAAAGAAAAGAAAAGAAAGGAAAAGAAGAGAAGAGAAGAGAAGAGAAGAGAAAAGAAAAGAAAAGAAAAGAAAAGAAAAGAAAAGAAAAGAAAAGAAAAGAAAAGAAAATGAAGGGACCTGGAATATGCTTTTAATTTAAGAAAGTGAAACTAATTAAGCACTTATTTGTACAACATGACAGCAGCTTTCAAGACATATTATTGATCTCAAAGGCAGTCTTTCCTTTCAGAAAAGAAGGGCTAAAAGCAGCTCCAAGTACTACTAATCTCATGCCACACCCCCTGTATTTTATGTATTTGTCACTCCTCATACCTTGCATTGCTGTGTCTCCTCAGCTGCTAAACAGTAAAGTGCTCTGAAGCATAAGAGAGAAACTGGGAAGCCCTCCCCATCCACAAGCCTTCTAGATACAGTGATACTATCAGTTACACTTCACCAAACACTTAGGTGAGTAGCTGACTGCTTTTTCCTTAAGTAACCTCTTCCCAAAAGAGAGCTACTTAAACATTTAAAAACACTTCTGAAACAATTTGAGGCAGTGTTTTATCAGGTGGCCTGGCAGGTCATGCTGCCTAAGAACAAATAACAATGCTAACTGAAACTTCTGGTATGCTTAATTTGGTCCCGACTTCAGGACACAATAGACTCTCCACATTGTACTGCTGTTAAAGCTACCATCCTTCAACCTTTGAAAGCTATGACCTTTGTTTAGCAAACAAAACACTTAGGATTTTTTTTTTGATAATTAAAAGAACTAGAGAGATCTGTAGCATTGACTCTCTGTTATTATAAAAAGCAAAACAAAACGAACAAGCACCGCTCACATATGCTGATTATTACAACCAGGAAATCATCATACGTACTGTTTGCCATCACTGTCCTGAGTTTCCTTAAGGTACAAGGAAAAATCAATCACTCCAACCTAAAAAATAAATTTAAGACATATCTTTGCAGTGCAATTTTGAACAGCAGCACGCGTTAGTGTATTTGGAAAAAGGTAAGCTTAGAAAGAGAGATAACACCTATCTTCTTCCTAACTGAAGTCAATTTGTACAAGAGAGGGTTTGTCACAAAACCATCAAAATGAAGACCATAGTGTGCTCAGCGTCCTAGAAGTTATTAATTTTAACAGTGATTCTATGAGCTGTTTCTCACATGGAATAAATATAAGTAAACACAACACTCACACCACCGACTCCTTCCCACAGCCCTCAAAAGTCTCTCCAAACCCATAAAACTCAAAGCTTAAACTAGCAGACAAGTCTTCCAAATATATCTCTTGTAATTATCTTAGTTCATTTTTGATCTCTCATATGGCATTCAAATGCCTGTCTATGAAAGCACAGGAAAGACAAACCAACCTGTGTATCAGGTCTAAGAACTCTGGAACAATTTGGTTCAAGTGTTTACGGATGATGCTTAATTATTACAGGCAACTTAACGGCTGATCTTATTAAAATTATAATCTTCACCTGGGAATCCAAATCTTCTCCTTTCAAGCAAAGGTTTGCATCAATAACATTCAGTCCAACTAGCAGACCCACAATGACTGCTCCTTCCTCTTCCATCATCAATGCATCAGGTTCATAAAATTCACTAGAAAAAACATCATAAGCCAGTACTGCATGTCATAACAATTAGAATGGCACTTCTATCACTTAAGGCACCTAGGGCTATGTGGTTCTTACACAGCTCTAATGTTTATAGTCTGATCAGTCCCTCCTCAACAGTTTATTGCATAAGACAGAAGGTGCAGAAGTTGCACAGAACCATATTCTGCTCGTTTTGTTCACTGCAAAACCAATGAATAACTTGCTCCTCTGCAGGTTGCACAAAAAAAAAAAAAAAAGGAAAAAGGCTTAAACTAGTCAATTAAAGATCTCTAACTATAAAACAATTCAAGGATCTAGTGAATACAACCTACATGTGCTCATTCTATTACCTGAGCAGATGCTTGTTGTCCAAGAGTACTTTGAGATAATCTGCCAGTTTCTTTTGCATGAGTGCAAGATAAAGCCAAGCCCTTCCTCTTCCTACAGCAGTCCTAAAAGGAAAAGTTGCAAGTTTTGGTAAAACTAGAACACCTTCAAAAAAACTTCAAATGTTTTCAAATGCTATTTTTAATCCGACAGCATCGCTGAATCAGAATCGCAGGACAGCTTAAGATGCCCTCTCAGAAAAGCTAATGCCTCCAGCATACACTATCTTCCCCTTTAGGAATGAGATCTCAATAAGTCAAGGTGAGAGGGTATAGGAAGGATTCCTTTTTTCCTCCCCCAGAGGTATAGGTGATTTGTATCATTCCTAATAATCAACTTACTTTAACTCTGGCAGATTTTTAACACTAGTTGCTATATCTGATGCTTCAGGACAAAGTTTCTCCACTATTTCCAAAGGGCCAAAAAATGATTTGTTCTGTCCAATAAAAGTCTTCTTCACTAAAGAGAACATAGAGAGAGGTTTGTGGGGAAAAATGACAGGCTGCTACCTTCAACTCCAGAGCCACAAATTTTAGTCTCTGTTTTACTTCATCTTACCATGTTCTCCTATGGAAACAGGACATTAAAAAACCCTTGGCTAACAGACAGTACATAGCATATCAGAAGACAAGCACATAGGTACACAGGGAGTATTGATTAGTATGTTATAGGGCATAATGAATATTAATTTCTCATGAAAGCCCAAGTGAGCAGGCAGCAGGGCAGGACCCGGCCACCCGGCCTGTCCCCCTCCCACCCCGGCATGAGGCACACGCGGGCACCCACCTTTCAGCCCATGCTTGAGGCAGTGCTCCAGCACCACGAAGAACTGCTGCAAGGGCGGGAAGTCCGAGTCCAGCGTCCGGCCCAGGCTCAGGGCCGACTGGATGAGCGTCTTGATGCTGAGTTTCATCATGTTCATGAGGTTTGCGCGCTCCTCCATGGCGTGGCAGCGGGCAGCTGGCACATAAGCGGGAAAAGAATAAAGAAAGAGGTGGAAAAGGAGGGTCTTGTTTTGTTTGTTTGCGTTTTAAGAAGTGCAGGCTCCCCTTCCGTGGCTGTCACAGGGGTGGTGAGCGCAGAGCCACCGGCTGGGTCTCCATCTTGCCGAGGGGTGAAATGAGGCCGAGGTGCCCCCCTCCTCCCCAAACAGTGTCTGCGGGGAGCTCGAGGG